GTCGCGCCTATGTTGGTGACGCGCTGTTGGGCCTCAGAGAGCATCTGGAGGTGGGCGAGCCCTCTTTCCCGATATCTACAGTGGAGTTTCGGCGACACTGGTGGAAGGCTCTCAAAGATTTGGACATCACCTTCAGCGGGCCGCCACGCAACCTACGTCACAGCCAGCCTTCGACGGATGCAGCATCGCGGAGACTTTCTTTAGAGGAGACTCGGCGCTGTGGAAGATGGAGGGCCTCGAGCAGCGCGCATGTACATGCCGAAACTGTTCTGCTGTGTCGCCACGACGCCAAGGCGCCCGACAACGTGAAGCAGCAAGGCCTAGCCTTCCTGAAGGATCCGAGGGGTACCTCGACGCGGGCGCCGCGCGACGGCCCTCAGACTCCGGTCGCGCGCATTTTGAGCTCAGCCTTGCCCTCCAGAACAAAAGTTAAATGTGACAGTGCGCCCAGCTTGCCTTCCATGACTCTCCACGGCGAAGTGAAGAGTGGCTTAGGCACGCAGGAGAGCTGTCTCGAAGGAAGCCCACCAGAAAGCTTTGCAGCGCTTTGCCTCGCCTCGCCCGCCCCCCCCGGCATTTTTTTCCAGTCCCGCCCGCCCCCGCAGCCCACCAGTATCCTTAGATGTTGATTGGGTACGGTTGTCGCTGTTGCTGGTGGTTGGCCAGCGGAGGATTGGCCGGCGACCCAGTGCCGCCGCGCCAGGCGGCTCGCAGGTGCTGAAAACATGTCGTCGTAGCATCGCTCACCTCTTTCACTTGAAGAGTGTTGTATTATACTTCTATGGTTGCCGCCGCTCCCGAGTTGCACTTTAGGGCGTGGGGCTCGTCGGTCTGGGGCTGAGGGGTGCCAGGGCCTGACGTTAAATAAATATAAACTTCTGGAGCTCTCTCGGAGCGGCGAAGGTTTATGTTTATGGCGTTATTTCGTTCCCCAGGTCGGCGAATCCGCGCTGCGCTGCAGGCTCGGTGGGCAGGCGGGGCGCGGGGCGCGGGCACGTCGCGCAGCCCGCTCCTCGCGCGCCCCGCGCGGGTGGCTCGACGGAACCTCACGCAGCGCAGCCAACTCGCTGGCCGCGGCGTCGCGCGGCAGGTGGATCCGCGATAACGCGGCGGTGGCCGCGTCTTCGCGCCTTGTCGGTAGCAACTCATGGGAGCGTTGTATGTTCTCGCTGTTCCGTCGTTCGAGTGCACTAGCGTGCGCTAGCAACTGGCAGTCGACTGGGGGGCGTCAAGTCGCGTCGATTCAGCGTCGACTAGCTTCGATTAGCGTCGACCAGGGTCGGATAGCGTCAAATCGCCAGAGCCAGCGAGATGACATGGGAGACCCCCGTGGTTTGCCACAGATGGTCTCCCTGTTCGCCACGCTCCCGCTCAACTGGAGTACCCTGGCATTGCGGGCGTTGTCGGAGGCTGCGCCATTCGCGATCCAGGCAGTGCTGCGCAGCGAGAGGCAGTGCGAACGGCGCGTGGTGCCGCACCCCGAGTCGGGCGCGGGCGACCCAGGTGGTGTCGGGGGACGACCCGTCGCCGGTGTGGCCTGGCGCCCGCCAGCTTCGAACGGCCGAGGGCATATTCCCTCCCTCCTGCTTAATCCTCCTCTTCCCCCTCCTCCTTCACCCTTCCAAAGCTCCAGGAGATGTGCGCCACGGTCTGTGCCGCCGCCATGGAACAGGCCCAAACAGCCGTCATCACGCACATCAGCACTGTCGCAGTTCAGCAGACTTCCCGCATCGACGGCCACGAAAAGGAGATTAGCGAACTACAGCGGCGACAGAGAGACGCGGAGGCTGAACAGCAACGCGCACGAGCAGCCATCGAGCGCATCGAGGCGACCCTCGCCATGGCCGAGGCCCAGCTGTCCGCCATGGACCTGTCCCACATCGCGGGCTACGACCGCGAGCCCATCCCGACCCTCTTCTACAGCGGCTGCCAATCCAACGTTCACAGCAGCCAGCAACAACAACTCCATGGTCAAACTCCTCAGCGACGTACCTGCGCGCCGACATCTATTACTGGTCCTACACGGTGACGCTGAGGCCATCCCTCGGGCCATGGCCTTGACTCGGAACCTCTGGGTCCCCGGCGGGTGCAGGACGTTCCAGGGCTCCAACACTCATGGCCAGCGAGCGCCACTACTCGTCAGCGGGGACAAGGCGCCCAAACAAATCCGCTGCGAGGTCCAAACCAAACGCCTCACCCAGCCTAACGCAGGCCACATCGATCAGGACCGCATCGAGCGGCAGTTCATGGGCGCCTTCTACGCGGAGGATAACATACAGTGGACCTAGCACTCGCTGGGCCGCATGGCCTGCAATATCCACGGCTCTGGCGCCGAGCGCCACCCTGGTCGCTTGGAGTGCACGTGGCCTCCTCTGCGTCAAGCACGAACGGCGCCATCGTCAATGGAAGCTACTCGAGTCATTCATGCGCCAGGGTACTTTTATCATGATTCAAGAGCTTCATGGCTCGGCTGTTCGGCTCCGGCTCGCCCTCCAGCGCGTCCCCTACCCGTGCGATTTCTTCGTGTCCGAGGGCAGCTCACCTGCTGAAGGCGGCATAGCATTTCTTGTCACACGGGCTCTTGCATTCTGCATGCCTACTCATCGTCCGCCAGCGATGTCAAACTCGAGTTCATCTTCTCCGACTTTTGGGTTCACCTCGTCATCTTCTTCCTCCTCTGCTCCGTCTCGCCCGAGCGCGACAGCCAGGGCCAGGGAGGCTGACGATGAGAGCGCGGCCGCTTCCGATCATGCCCACGACGCAGACGACGCTTCAGAGCAGGGCTTCGCCACCAGCAACCATCAGGTGTTTTACAACCGCAAGACGGTGCCCGCCGGCAACTTCTCTTACACATTTGACATATTTGTCTCCAGCCGTGCGGCCGTGGTCACCTGCGCGGACGCCTCCAGGGGCATCGCCGCCAAGTTTTTCAACGCGCACACCTACAATTCGGATGAATCGAACTTCAACACCATTGCCGCCAAGCGGGGGGAAGCGCACGCACGGGCACATCAGGAGTCCCACGAAGAGCCCCACCGCTTCTTCGTCGCCATCGGCGACTTCAACATATCGTATCAGCCGGTCTACTCCTACGACACACCTACTGCCACATGGTCAGTGCCACGCCGCACACCAGAGCTGATCGCAACGCCAACGCTGACGCGTTTTCAGCTCCAGGCTGCCGCTGGCGCTGCGATTGCAATCGATGTATACAACGACGTCGCATCGACGATGCCTGCGCTGTGATATCTCGCTCAGTGTTTTGCAGTCGATCGCAAAATACTGCAATACGAGATTTTTGCTTTGCACAAAGTGTGCCGATTACCCCCAGAAGCTGGCCGATGTCCATTCCCTCCGCTCCTGGGGAAAGCGGGGCTCTCCTCCATCGTCACCTACAGCGCCGCCGCGGCTTGGCGGTTCTGCTCTTTCACGATTGACGGGACGTGGTGTCCTCGGCTAAATTTGCTCACGGAAACCGCCCACGTGCACGGTTGCCTAATCCGCTGGATCCGTGGATTCTTGAGTCCGCCATTCTGGCAGCAGCAAGACAGCATCGGTGAGATGTATTCTTCGCTGGCTAGCGGCTGCTCCATCCCGATTTCTTCTCGTCGACAGATCTCAACAGCCTGCTTGCGCGCCGCCCACAGGGCTGGCCGCGATGAGGTCGCCCAAGCTACGCGTGACGGTCGGTGCCCCACGCTTCAGCGGGTTGTAGTTCGTTCCCTTTCCACGTCCATGCTCCCCGACACGCTCGCTTCCACGATCGCCAAGCGTTTAAAGGCACCGGATCCCTCATCCGAGGTGCCTGCCGATTTAGAGCTCTGCTGGCAGGCAATGCGGCGAGAGCTCGCGCAGCTATCATCGGCCCGTCGGTGGTGCGTGGTGAAGAAGCCCTGCGCGGGCTGGATCACGTCCCACAGAATGCACGTCCTGAAGCCTCGGCTTTGCCACTTCGGTTGCTCGGCGCGGGACTCGACGTGCCATCATTGGCAATGCCCTCGTCTCACGCATTTTACCGCCCACCCCCGCGCCTGCCCGTGCCCTCGCTTACTTGTCATGTAGGGGCCAGCCTCCGAGAGGACCGCGCCTCCCCGGACGATGCTCGCCCAGCTGTCATCCGTAGGATGATCATCGTATTCTATCTCTTTCACACCGTGAAGGTCGAGCTGGATTCTCTGCCGGAGCGTCGCAGTGACCGCACCCGCTGCTCCTACGAGTTCGCGCGCAGATGCTTGTTGGCGGCACGTCAGAGCGCCGAGCTATCAAATGCGGACGGGTTGGTGTTGAGAGGGTGCAATTTGTGGGTGGGCGGGTGGGGACCTGGACTAACGGAGCCAACAGCTGGAGCTAGTTTCCGCTACTGCTTAGGAGAACAGTCTCCCATTCTAGAGTGGATCCTTTTCCTCCGCCTCCTCCTCTTCCCCCGCTCCCCGGCCGTGTTGTCTGAGGACAGCGCCAGCAGTAGGTGAGGAAATAACGCCGTTTCAAATGCAACCTTTTTCTCTCCATCGGGCACGCGCAGTAACGATCTGGACGGCCAACGTCTAGAATCAAGTTTGGGCGGCTATGAGGGGGAGCCTCATGCTTTGCGGGGGGATTGGTTGGGTGGGGCGTTCATGTCAGAGCTTGTCGAATCACGTCCGTGCTCCCGCCTCTGGCCGGTGAGCACCAGCACGCCGCTCCTTCATATGATTCATATGTGGCCGGGCCTCCTTCCCCGCGGTAATTTGCTCGATCGCGGCGAGGCCCGCCTCTTGGCCTCTCTTCGGATGGATCGGCGCGCCTCAGGCTACGTCTACTCCTCCTCCCTGTCCTCCTCCTCCGCCTCCTCCTCCTTCCCCCTCCGCCTTCCGCTATCCTCCTTCCTCCCTTACTTCCTTCCCTCCTCCCCACTCCGCCCTGCGCCCTCCGCCCTTCCTTCATTGCCCCCCTCCGTGCTCCACTTCTCCCCTTTCCTCGCCCTCCCCCCAAGTCTGGCACCCCTCGCTCTCCCTCCCCAGGCTCCGCCGCGGGGGGCTCCTCTCGCAGCTCCGAAGGGTCGCCGGAGGAGCTCCAGGCGGTCCCGGAGGGCAGCTTCGACGCCGACGAGGCCGCCGCCCCGGAGGAGGGGCGCCAGGAAGCCGACGAGGCCGCCCCGGCAGCCGCCCCGCCGAAGAGGCCGCGGCAGGTCTTCGTCCTCCTCCTCCTTATCCTCCTCCTCCTCCGCCTCCTTTCCTCTTTCCTATCCTCCTTCTGTTTTCCTGGGAGGAAGCAGCAGCACGATCAACGGCGACGTGGTAGAGCGCTTGATGAAGGAGATTCGGGCGATCTCCAACATCATAGCACAGCAGTTGGCCCCCCTAGAGCGCGAGGTTTCCTGGCTCGCTGATGAAATCCAGGCCGTGAGGTTGCAGGCGGAGCGGGCATCAGAGATTGCCAGTTCAGCCATGGAAGGGATCCGCAGTTTGCGCACCGAGTTCGAGCAACTGCAGAAATCAAAGCCACAGGAGCCGAGCCAGACAGCGAACAGTGACGAGGTGAAAAACCGACAGATCATTGTTGGAGGGTTCCCGGAGGAGTTGGAGCAGGGTATTTTGTTGGAGAAGCTCAAGGATTTCTGGAAAATTGGGGCCAGACGGAGCAAAGTAGAGGAAATGTTTACTTACACCGACCCGTCGCGCATAGGCGTAACCCAATCATCTACGGAGGCTGCGAAGAAAGGGTTCTACCAGCTCGTTCGTGACGCTCCCAGGGAGATGGAGGGCAACGTCAAGCTCTGGTTCTCTGATAATGCTCAAACTGCTTGTTGTGTGCGGCGCTAATTATTTGAAGCGACGGCGGATCACTTCAGACCAACCCCCCTCCGTAAGTTTTTCATCGCTCCAAGGGCGCTCCCGATAACGGCGCTCGCTTTCGCACCGCTCTCCAAGAGACAGCGCCCGCGGTTGAAAACAACGGCGCCCAAATTTCAAGCGACACCAAAAAACACAGCCCAGGGTTAAACACAGAAGCGCCCAGGGTCGAAATCAACAACGCCCAAACTTCGAGCGACATCAAACAACAGCGCCCAGGGGCCGAAAACAACGCGCCCACATTCCGCGCGATATCAAATAATAACTCCCCAGGGGCGACAACAGTAGAGCCCAAACTTCGCGCGATATTAGAAAACAGTAGCACCCAGGGTCGAGAACGATAGCGCCCAAATTTCGCGCGAGCTCTTATCCGCGCCCAGGGTCGAATGCAACTGCGCCCATGGTCAAAAAAACAAAGACAACAACAGGGCCCAGGGTTGAAAATAACAGCGCGTCGGCGTCGTCGACGTCGTCGTCGCCGTCGCCGCAGTCGCCGCCGCCGTCGCCTTCGTCGTCGTCGGCGTCGCTGTCGCCGTCGCCGTCGTCGTGTCGTCGTCGTCGTTGCCGACGTCGTCGGCGTCGTCGTCGGCGGCGGCGGCGTCGTCGGCGTCGTCGTCCGCCCCTGACGTGGCGGCGCGGGTCCGCGGCGAACCCCGCGCCCCCCTCGCCCTCCTGCGCTCCTGCTCCTTTCCCGGGTTTCCAGGAGGAGGCCCCTCTATCACTCATCGTCGCAGCTGGACCCTCGCCAAAACGCAGAGGAGGAGATGAGGGGGAGGAGGAGGAGGAGGAGGAGGGAGGAGGAGGAGGTGGATTGGGGGAGGGAGGAGGGAGGTCGCCCCGGGAGGCAGTGAATGCGAAAGGACAACGCCGAGTCTGACGCGATCCGCCGTCGGCCTTCCTCACGCGAGGGGGGAGGGGGAGGAGGGGGCGTGGGTGGCGAGGGTGGTAAGTTGGTAAGTCAAGTCGGGGGAGGAGGAAGGAACGAGAGGAGTGGAGGAGTGGCGAAATTGGGGCAAGAGGAGGGGGGGAGGAGGCCAGAGGATCCAGAGGATATGAGGTAGCAGTGCCCGCGGCGCCCTGTCCCTCCGCTTTGCCGCTGGCGCTGCTCTGCTGCAGCCCCCGGGGCCCAGAGGCCCCGCGAGCCGGCGCCGCATGGGCGCATGGGCTGCCGCCCCTTGGTGTTGGGCCAAGTAGAGGCCGCTCTGAGGCGGCACGCTGTGTGGTGCGAGACAGACCTGTCCCTCCCAGTCACCTGCCTACCAGCTATTGTTGAGACTGTGTGCGGCTGCAGTTCCAGGGCAGCCAGAAGTCGGTCGCCAGCTGCCCAGCAAAGAGTTGACATTGTTGGTGGCG